ATACTTCACGACCTCTTCTTTTAACCAACAAGTACTAATTATCATTATAACATCTAATGTTTACATGATTCTGAAAAAAAATATAGCAAGTGAGTGAAAGTAACCCTACTGTAGATCAAGTTTTTGAGCATCTCAGATGAATCAATTTATCAGGAAAAGTGAAAAAGTGCTCCGTTGCCTATGTCTCACGGCAAAAATTTCTAGTCACAACCAGGTTTGCTGTCACTCACTTGCTATAAAAAAATATATTTCCAGAATTTTGGAATCACTAGATGATATAATGGTATTTTGAACTTGTTGAAAACACATACTGAAGAGGTTGAAAATCAATTGTTTGACTCATAAAACCTGTCAAATTAGCTTGCAAATAATCACAATCAGCGATTTTACGACTCGCGAGCGCTTACTCTGAGTGAACGCTCACGAATAATACAATCGCTGATTGTGACACTCTGAAAGCGAAATCGACAGATTTTATGTGTCAAACACATACTTTACAAACTCTTCCTTTATTCTCACATGTACAAAACATCATAATAACATCTAATGATTTTATAATTTCGAAAAACATTTTTTATAGCAACCCTGCTCACAACACTCTTTTAGGCGTTCTGATATTCATAACTAGAGGCTGAACCGATCGCTTAGTTTCAATTAAAAAGACGTATATTTTCAACACTATCTATTTATCATAAATAATACTTCTACAGTCAGGAATCCTTATTGCCGGGGTAACGGGGGCTTGAATAAGGAACCGCGAATAAGGATACCCACAGCTTATGGGATTTTCACTAATGGGGGCTGTAGTGGATTATCTCATTTGTTTCAATACATAAAGCTATACTGTCTTAGACAAAGTTGCTGTACTGGGTTAGACCAACAAGCCTGTTCCATTGGATTCGGGTTAAATTGAGAACTACGCCGCTAGAGGCGCTTCACTTTTATGTTACTTATGACGGGCGCTATAATATATGGATCATATTTCCAACATAGAATATTTCATGATCCTGACCATATAGAAAGTTACTGTCTTCAGCAAAGTTGGGCAGGTGACCAAGTCCTTTTGGATGGTGGCCATATTACTTCAGAACTCTCTCACTACGCAGCGCTAGTGTGCATGTGAAATTCTTATATAAACTGTATCTCGAGAGCCTGGCCATATAGAAAGTTGCTGTTTTCAGCAAAGTTGTGCAGGTGAGCAAGTCCTTTCGGATGATGTTCATATTAGTTCAGAACACGCTCACTACGCGGCGCTAGTGTGCAAGTGAATTTCCTGTATAAGCTGTATCTCGAGAACCTGGCCATATAGAAGGTTACTGTCTTGAGAAAAGTTGTTCAGGTCACTAAGTCCTTTCGGATGATGGTCATATTATTTCAGAACCCTCACACTACGCGGCGCTAGTGTGCACATGAACTTTCTTAATATGTTATGCCTCCAAAGCTTGTCCATATAAGATGTTGCTGTGCAATGTGAGAACAGGAACCGGAAAAAGATGACGTGTAGAGGCCGGAAATCGATGTCAGATGCCATTTTGGAATTCAAGATGGCGGCCATCGGTTCAAGAAAAACTGTCAAATACCGTACAATATGGATATTTTGGGAAAGGGGATGACGTGTAGAGGCCGGAAATCGTTGCTAGGCGTCATTTTGGAATCCAAGATGGCGACCATCGGGTCAAGAAAAACTGTCAAATACCCTACAATATGGGTATTTCCGGATAGGGAACGACGTGTAGAGGCCGGAAATCGATGTTAGACGCCATTTTGGAATCCAAGATGGTTGCTGTTGTTGTTGTTGCCTGCTTTGATAAAACTTACACATAAATCAATTTTACGGATGTCCCGGATCTTCTCACGGACCATCTGGTGACTAATCAGAGCCATTGAACAGCTAATGTATCTAAAATCACCATTTAACTACACTCCACATAGTTGCAGAGTAAAATCAAGGCTTACTTTGATCAAATTTACACAGCAATAAATTTATCAGATTTTCCGGATCTTCCAGCGGGTTATGTCGTGACCACTCGGAACAATTGAACCGCTAATATAACAAAATTCACCATTTTACTACATTTCACGTAGTTGCAGAGCAAAATCAAGGCCTACTTATATCAAATTTACGCAGCAATACATTTTACGGATGTTCCGGATCTTTCGGCGGGCCACTTGGAGCCAGTGAACAGCTAATATATAAAAAATCATAATTTTACTACATTATATACAGTTGCAATGAAAAATCAAGGCATACTTTGATAAAATTTACTTAGCAACCAATTTTACGGATGTTCCAGATCTTTCGGTGGGTCATCTGGTGACCATTTGGAGCCAATGACCAGCTAATATTTCAGAAATCATCATTTTACTGTATTCCATATAATTGCGGAAGAAAATCAAGGCCTACTTTGATCAAATTTACACAGCAATCAATTTTACGGAAGTTCCGTATCTACCAGCGGACCATCTGGTGATAACTCGGAGCCATTGAACAGCTAACATATGAAAAATCACCATTTTACAACATTTCTCATTGTTGCAGAGAAAAATCAAGGCCTACTTTGATCGAATTTATGTAGCACTAAATTTTACGGATGTTTCGGATCTTCCGGCGGATCATCTGGTGGCCACTTGGAGCCATTGAAACGCTTATATATCTAAAATCATTAATTTACTACATTTCATATAGTTGCAGAGAATAATCAAGGCCTACTTTGATCAAAAATACATAATAATCCAGATTAAGGTTGATCCAGGTCATCGGAAGGCCTTCCGGTGGACGCTCAGTATTTAGAACCAGGTTATGGGTTGATTTTGTTAAAATATTAATCAGCACTACCCATAGATGCCTGTTGCTGTGGATTTTCAGCACCACCTTGTTGTAGACGACTGGTACCTTTTCTCCCCCCGATGGCCTCTCGGAAACCCGGAATAAAACCGGAACCACTTGGCCAATCTGTTCCAATTTTTAGTAGACCAAAATTTCGAACATTTTTCTACTCACTGTGAAAATTTCAACCAATTTCATGGTTAAACAAAAAAGTTATACCTATGCAAACATTGCTATTCGTATACCTTTTCGTAAAATTAAAAACTGGACAAGCGCGTTAGTCCCTCCCCAGAAGTAAAGCAGGTGGTGTTCGTTTGAAACGCTAATAACTTTTCGGGGATAACTCGGATTCACATCCGGTCATCAGCCAAGATGTTCCCAATACTCCAAAAGTGATACATTTTGTACACGAAGAAAATTGACCCACTACAGCGCCACCTAGAGCCGCGAATGTGAAAGTGGCTCGCTCCCCCATACATTTTGTCGATTTTCCCCATACAAACTTCAAGCCGTTTGAGCGAGGGGTTCCCGTGAACCAAATGACTTCAAATTTTGGCAGGGTGATTCTGACCCCCCAAACTACCATACCAGAGGGTAGCGTTTGAAATTCCAGACTTTGACTTTTTTTTTCCATATAACGCTGAAACACTCTAGTGACCATGGAAAACATGTTGCCGCCATATTGGATTCCAAAATAGCGTCTGGAATCTATATCTGGCCTCTACACGTCGTCCATTTTCGGAAATTCCCACATTGTAGTGTATTTGACAATTTTTCTTAAACTGATGGCCACCATCTTGGATCCCAAAATGTCATCTGGCATCTATTTGCGGCCTCTACACGTCGTCTCCTTCCAAAAATATCCATATTGTAGGGTATTTGACAGTTTTTCTTGAACCTATGTTCGCCATCTTGGATTCCAAAATGGCATCTGACATCGATTTCCGGTCTCTACACGTCATCTCCTATCCGAAAATACCCATGTTGTTGGGTATTTTACAGTTTTTCTTGAAACGATGGCAACCATCTTGGATTCCAAAATGGCGTCTGAAATCGATTTTCGGTCTCTACACGTCGTTCCTTTTCCGGTTCCTGTTCTCACATTGCACAGCAACATCTTATATGGACAAGCTTTGGAGACATAACATATTAAGAAGTTCATGTGTACACTAGCGCCGCGTAGTGTGAGAGTTCTGAAATAATATGACCATTATCCGAAAGGACTTAATCATTTGAACAACTTTGCTGAAGGCAGTAACCTTCTATATGGCCAGGTTCTCGAGATACAGCTTATACAGGAAATTCACTTGCACACTAGCGCCGCGTAGTGAGCATGTTATGAACTAATATGACCATCATCCGAAAGGACTTGATCACCTGCACAACTTTGCTGAAAACAGCAACTTTCTATATGGCCAGGCTCTCGAGATACAGTTTATATAAGAATTGCACATGCACACTAGCGCTGCGTAGTGATAGAGTTCTGAAGTAATATGGCCACCATCCAAAAGGACTTGATCACTTGCCCAACTTTGCTGAAGACAGTAACTTTCTATATGGTCAGGATCACGAAATATTCTATGTTGGAAATATGATCCATATATTATAGCGCCCGTCATAAATAACATAAAAGTGAAGCGCCTCTTGCGGAGTAGTTCTCAATTTAACCCGAATCCAATGGCACAGGCTTGTTGGTCTAACCCAGTACAGCAACTTTGTCGAAGACAGTATAGCTTTATGTATTGAAACAAATGAGATAATCCACTACAGCCCCCATTAGTGAAAATCCCATAAGCTGTGGGTATCCTTATTCGCGGATAGCCCGGCAATAAGGATCCGGCAATAAGAGATACCGGCAATAAGGAATCCGGCAATAAGGATTCCTGACTGTATCTCCTTAAAATTTACAATCAATTATTAATCCAAATTGATTCGAGCAAATGACCGACCACCGAAACTTAACCACTCAACTAACACATGTTCCCACATGTCTTCTTTCTCCTATTTCATTCCATGCCGCACAACATCTTGGACCCGAACCTGGCTGTCTATCCATCCGTGCCACCGTTTGCTGGAGGAAATACACCGGCACAAATTAAAAAAAAAAATACCAAACCCACATCACTCGCATCACGTGCGCGGACAACCGCAACCTCGATTCCGCCGGAAGCAGAAGCGTAACCGAACCGTCTACACTGGCGTACGGTACAACAAACTATCCTCATCGGGCGGGGCCCGAACCACAAGGATATCAATACCAGCCGATGGTGATGATTTATTAGAACCAATTGTAAATAATTCCGAAGACGAAGAGGAGGACGACGATGACGAGGACACCGAGAGCGGTGCTGGTGGTGGCGGCGACCGAGACGTGTACCATGATGATGACCACGAACTGCTCGATGGCGCAGTGGTTGGCACTAGCAACAGTGGCCACAGCAGCAGGCAAAGCCGGTTTGCGGCCACTGGTCATCACGGTGCACCACGGCGAGGGACAAGGCAGCAGCAGCAGCGTTCGATACGATTCGCAAGGACTTGAAAATGGCAGGCGCGCGGCCGGGAAAAAAACGGTAAAATGTGTGCTATAATAGGCGATAACAAATTACTATAAATATTTACTTAAGTGTGGGGGAAAGCGCCACCGAGGGAGGGGTAGAACTTGGTTCCACATAAAAGAGACAAAGAAAATGGAAAACATTCTGCCTTCCTTCAGGACAGTTCGTGGAAGCCTTGTTTGGAGAGAAAGAGAGACACGGTGAGAGACAGGATGCGATCGAAAATAAAATTTGAAGAAAAACACGAGATGTTTATGATGTTGATGACGGTGGGGATGATGATGATGACGAGATGGCGATAAGTGTGTATGTGTGTGTGTGTGTGTGTGTGTGCTTGTGACTGTGCGTGGGTGGTTGGTAAACAATCTTTTCATTTGACAGAAAGAAAAAAAAACTTTTTTGTTACTTTTATACACTATTATTACCGTAGAGAATAGGGAAACTGACAGAAGGCGTCGAGGCGCCACGATGGAGTGGAAAAGATGATTTATACACTGTTAAGGCACTTTTCAAATTCCGAACACAATAGACAGGGGACAGGCGGCGATTTTTGGAAAAGCTGCTTATGGAAACAGAGGGAATTGATTGTCATGGGAACGAGGGAAAATTGAGCGATTAGTAGCTTCGATTGAACTTTTCTACGAGGATGAGTGGCTGGCTTTTAAACATTGTTGGATTTCATTGCTTAAGACCATCGGTTCAATTAGGCCAATTGATTTTGTTTTTTTCGTCATAAAATTAGGTAAATTGCTTCGTGAATTCTGAATTTATGTAATTCTATTGGAACTTTCAAAATAATGCAGTGATGCGACAAAACACATCGTTTTTGATCATATAGTTGCTACTTGAAGCAATTGATTATTTCTCGTCATGGTAAGTACAAATTATGAGAAGCAGCAGTTTATTGCCCAATTAATGATTTTGCTCAACACAGTGCAATCGACTTCAAATCAAAATCAGATCATACCTGGGAACTGGTCCAGCGTAATGCTTATTATCCAAACCTTTCGCGTGAAAGGTCACGAGTTCAAATCTTATCCCCGGACAAGTCGCTAATGACCCAAATGCGAAAGAGTAACTATAACGCAAATGAAAAGTTCCTATCATCCTTTGAATATTTCGGTAAATGAAGATTGTAGTCCTAAAATGTACTGGCCATTCGTTTCGAATTGCAATAGGAAAGGAGGGCTGTTCTTCCCTCGCACAAGCAATGTGCACAAAATGTTTATTTAGTCCATGTAGGACATCCACCCATTGTTACCACATAGAGCAGTCGTACAACAATAGCACACTTGGAAATAACTAACGGAGATGGTAATCATTAGGGGAAATGACTCTAATGTTGGCCTATGGATCTAAGATTGGGCACATCGTTAAACATTTGCTATTTATCAATTTTATCTGGATGAACGCGTCATTGTGACGGTACTAATGGATATTTTCGGTCGCTATTGAAAATTTAGTCGATTACTAAATTTATGTATTGGCCCAAGTTAGGGGCATTTAGGCCTACATTACATCCATTTCCCCTATTCAGATGTTTTTCTTTATTATTATTATTATTATTATTATTATTTAATTTTATTCATCGGACTATTGTCTACATGAAACAACCTTAAAGCTAAAACAATTCAAGTGTTTCTAAACCGTGCCAAAAAGCGAGATGAAGATTCCCCAAATTCGAATAATTCTTCGACAGCCGTAAACGTACGCATCATAGTTGTTAGTGGTTCGTTGTAACCGAACGCCGTTCGATGGTACCGCGGTTGGAGAAGGGTACCACTTCGTAATGTTCTCGATGGTACTCGGATATCCAACAGCGAGAGAAGCCTCGAGCAGTCGACCTCACCATTCAATAGCTTGGCAACAAAAACTGCTTGCTGATTTTTCCGTCGGCATTTCAGAGTATCCAAGCTCAGCAGATTGCAGCGATCAGAATACGGTGGGAGATTTTGCGGATCACGCCATGGTAGATTACGTAATGCTATCCTGATAAACTTGCGCTGAACACTTTCGATCCTCAAGCTCCAAGTCAACTGATGAGGAAACCAGACCAAGGAGGCATTTTCCAGGATTGGTCGCACAAGTGAGCAATAGAGAGCTTTCAGGCAGTGTGGGTCAATGAAGTCCTTCGATATTTTCGACACAAAACCTAGCTGGCGATTCGCCTTTGTGATCAGAGCAGAGCGGTGGAGGTTGAACGTCAACTTATGGTCCAGTAGAACACCAAGATCGCTGAACTGGTCGGTTCTTTGAAGAACCACACCGTTCATGGCATAGTCAAAAATAATCGGCTGCCTGATGCGGTAATACGACATTACCATACATTTAGGTATGCTGAGGGTAAGCTTATTCCGACGACACCAATCAACGAACAGAAATACCGATTGAAGACGAATGCAATCCTCAGCAGTTCGCACCACGAAGTACAGCTTTAGGTCATCGGCATACGCAAGCTTACAGCCATCTCCAAGTAGAAGAAGTGCGTCGTTGATGTACAACACAAAAGCAACGGGCCAAGATTGCTACCCTGTGGTACACCTGACGAGTTCGTGAAATACGAGGAAGTAAGTTTTGATGCTGCAGAGAGATTAGTAATTCCTCTGTAGTTTTTAACGTCACGTTTATCTCCTTTCTTGTGTACCGGAACCATAAATGACTCTTTCCAGATTGCAGGAAATTTCGACTCTACAAAAGATTTGTTGAAGATTCTGCAAAGCGGTTCAACAAGCGCTCCAATGGTACGACAATACACTGCAGAAGGAATGCCATCTGGTCCAGGCGAGAAGGTACATTTCATTTTCTTGGCGGCATTAGTTACCATAACGGGCGTTATTTCAAAAGTATTTATGTCAACAAGGTTTGAAGGCACATCCGAAACAGCCGAGACAAGTTCAGTCGAGGTGATGGATTCTGCGGCAAAAACCGACGAAAAATGAGCAGCAAAAAGCTCACTTTTCTCCCCGCCTATCGACGATTCAACGTCATTGAAAAAAACGCTTGCAAGCATTGTTGAATTTTTCCTCTTCGAGTTTACATAGCTCCAGAAGCTCTTGGGGTTTCGCCTTGCACTCGTAAAACGTACGATTTGTAGAGCGAAGAGTTTAGATTACGGTACTCGTTACACGCCAAGTGAAAACTACGCTTATTTGCCAGGGAACGGTATCGCCGAAGTCTACGTTGCGAAGCATTTCTTTTTCGTTTTAGTTTTCGTAGCAAAGCGGTGCTCCACGCAGGAGAAACAGCAGGCCGACGAATCGGTACGTTTGTATCCATCCAATTATTTAGCACAGCACACAACGTTTCAGCCATTTCATCAGCATTCAGTCCATCGAAAAGAAGATCCCAGTCAGTGACGGAAAGGAAGTCCATTAGAACATCGAAATCAATCTTGCTATAGTCTAACGCAAGCTCATCACTCGCATTCAGCAGCAGTGCACCGTCATCAACTAGAGATGGTAAGCAGACGACTAGTGGCGGATGATGAAGATCAACTGGCAAGAGTGGTGAAACAGATCTCGAGATTTCCACAGGAAAGTCCGTATGGCAAAAGAACAAATCCAGGATGCGTCCTAAGTGGTTGCGCTCGAGATTTCTAAGATGCAGGTTGTGGAAATCCATGCCATCAATCAAGAATGAGCTAGCAACTGGTAAAGGAACAGAGTTCACAGGTCGAATCTCGCCATCAGCCCAACTCCAGGATATCCCAGGTTGATTGTAGTCACCGCATACCAGCAAGCAGACGCTGTCAGAGCCACTGTTACAAAGCTCTTGGATCGATTCAATATGCCCATTCAAAACGCTGAGATCCTTGCTCTTGTCTGGAGGAACGTAAATTGCACACAGCAATAGTCGCTTGGATCCAATCCTCGTCGATACACACACTTGTTCTATCGTTTCTCCGCTCGTTGCAACGACACTGATACTGATGAAACGATGATGTACGGCAATTAGAACCCCTCCGAAACGAGATTTGCTGCTGTTTATATGGCTTCGGTCACATCGGTACACATTGTAGTTGCTTCCGAAAAGCTGCGTCGAATTGATAGCCTCGTTAAGCCCCGTCTCGATTAAAATGATGACGTCTAAATTGCACTCCATGACGTTGCAGTAAAAGTCGTCGATCTTGGTACGCAGTCCACGTACGTTTTGGTAATAAACCCATAAACGACTAGCGTCACGGGTCGTGTTCTGCAACATGGAAATATTTGGCGCGGGAATATTTGGTGAATGGTACAGATACTCACCTCTGGTGGAAACCCTAGGGTTTCCACCGTCCACAGAATGTCGCAAAGAATGATTATTGATAATGGTGCTAACCCTAGGGTTTCCACCGTCCACATGATAGAGCCTTAAGTTTACAGTAGAACATCTATTGAGACCTTATTTCTGAAGTAAAATAAAGGAATAATCATATGAAATAACTCATGGCCAAGGTGACTATATATAGGTGTTCTAATGTGTAAAATTCATGATTCAGCCATGTTGAATTTTTGTATGGGACAGCGACCGAGTTTGTTTACAATTTGCTCTAAAACCGCACTTTTCCCCCCCGCGACCTCCTCGTCCATATAGTGATAAAGCTGTATCACCATGTATATACCCACCATGCTCATGGTTTTCTATTCTCTACATTTAGGTTATGGTTTGTCTCTATCTAGCGGTGCATTTTACCCCAATATTGTCGTGCGTTTTGCCACAATGTTATGGTGCATATTACACCATGAATCAGGCTATAATTTTGGAATGGATTAAAAAATGCATTGAAACTCATGAAAAATCATTATTTTGGAGTTCTAAATCACTCGATATACGTAGAAAACATTGTAATGAACCATACTCAATTAGTTTTTCCTTGAATTTAGCTTGCTAAACCACCATCATTGCATCATCCTACCCTACGACGTAAAGGTGGTTGATTTTTACTCTGCTGTCATGGTTCTTGTTGTTGCTGAACAGTCTATTGAGGCTTGGGCCAGCGTTGCCAGATATACCGATTTATCGGTATTTATACCGATTTCCAAACTAGATACCGATATACAGATAAGGTTCTTCAGAATACCGATTTTTAAGATTTCGTTTTTTATAAATAATCAAAACTATTATTGCCTGCCCGCGCTCGAATTTCGTAGATAATTTTTGTAAGAGACTTGTCTCTTTTTGAAAACCTCAAATTTTTTGAGCCTTCAAAATTCTAAACAATCATCTCTAAAGATGCCTTATGCTTGATGCTCTTTCGACTAATGTTTTTATTCATTTTTAAACTTCCTGAAGTTTCATCCAACTTCCCCTGGAATTTTCTTCCACCTTACCTTGGAAGCTTCTTCAGCCTTCACTCGAATGATTCTTTCATCTTCTCCCGCCAGTTTTTTTTTAACTTTCCCGGAGCTTCAAGGATGCTATCAGATTTTTTTTTAGATTCTTGACCCCCCCTCCCCCTGCGTGGACAATTATCCATACAAAAATAAAATTTTTGTAAGGGCCGTTTATAATTGTCAACCTCCCCTAAACTGTCTAAGTAGTTTACGGACAGCCCCTAAGAACTTCTTAGGGTGCCTTCCATTCATTTTGAATAAAACAATGTTGCATGGAATTATGGGTTCATAATATAATATGATGATATTTTGTATCTGTAAGTAGCAAGAAAATATTGTAAA